GCTAGCTTCACTTAGCATAATCTGCTCTAGTGCCATCCATTTCCCTGCAAATTCCATGATTTTGTCATTTTTTAGTGCAGAGTAATACTCCATTGTGTATAAATGCCACATTTTTTAAATCCATTCATCTATTGAAGGGCATCTAGGTTGGTTCCACAGTCTAGCTATTGTGAATTGTGCTGCTATGAACATTGTTGTAGCAGTGTCCCTATAGTACGCTCTTTTAAGGTCTTTAGGGAATAGTCCAAGAAGGGGAATAGCTGGGTCAAATGGTGGTTCCATTCCCAGCTTTCCAAGGAATCTCCATACTACTTTCCAAATAGGCCGCACCAATTTGCAGTCCCACCAACAATGTACAAGTGTACCCTTTTCCCCACATCCTCACCAGCACTTGTTTTTGTTTGACTTCATAATGGCTCCCAATCTTACTGGAGTGAGATGGTATCTTAGGGTGGTTTTGATTTGCATTTCTCTGACTGCTAGAGATGGTGAGCATTTTTTCATGTACTTGTTGATTGATTGTATGTCCTCCTCTGAGAAGTGTCTGTTCAGGTCCTTGGCCCATTTGTTGATTGGGTTATTTGTTATCTTATTGTTTAATTTTTTGAGTTCTTTGTATACTCTGGATATTAGGGCTCTATCTGAAGTGTGAGGAGTAAAAATTTGTTCCCAGGATGTATGCTCCCTATTTACCTCTCATTGTTTCTCTTGCTGAGAAAAAACTTTTTAGTTTAAGTAAGTCCCATTTGTTGATTCTTGTTATTAACTCTTGTGCTATGGGTGTCCTATTGAGGAATTTGGAGCCCGACCCCACAATATGTAGATCAGAGCCAACTGTTTCTTCTATCAGACACAGAGTCTCTGATTTGATATCAAGCTCCTTGATCCATTTTGAGTTAACTTTTGTGCATGGCGAGAGAAGGGGATTCAGTTTCATTTTGTTGCATATGGATTTCCAGTTTTCCCAACACCATTTGTTGAAGATGCTATCCTTCCTCCATTGCATGTTTTAGCCCCTTTATCAAATATAAGATAGTTGTAACTTTGTGGATTAGTCTCTGTGTCCTCTATTCTATACCATTGGTCCACCCGCCTGTTTTGGTACCAGTACCATGCTGTTTTTGTTACTATTGCTCTGTAGTATAGTTTGAAATCTGGTATTGCTATACCGCCTGATTCACACTTCCTGCTTAGAATTGCTTTTGCTATTCTGGGTCTTTTATTTTTCCATATGAATTTCATGATTGCTTTATCTATTTCTACAAGAAATGCCRTTGGGATTTTGATTGGCATTGCATTAAACCTATAGAGAACTTTTGGTAATATCRCCATTTTGATRATGTTAGTTCTGCCTATCCATGAACAGGGTATATTTTTCCATCTTCTAAGATCTTCTTCTACTTCTCTCTTTAGGGTTCTGTAGTTTTCATTGTATAAATCTTTCACCTCTTTTGTTAGGTTGATTCCCAAGTATTTTATTTTTTTTGAGGATATTGTGAATRGRGTGTTTTTCCTCATTTCCATTTCAGAAGTTTTGTCGCTKATRTACAGRAATGCCTTTGATTTATGCRTGTTGATTTTATAYCCTGCCACTTTGCTGAATTCATTTATTAGTTCTAGTAGTTTCTTTGTAGACCCTTTTGGGTCTTCTAGGTATAGAATCATGTCTTCCGCAAATAGTGATAATTTAAGTTCTTCTTTTCCTATTTTTATGCCTTTAATTTCTTTCATCTGTCTAATTGCACTGGCCAGATATACACTCTTATTTTTAGATTCCATATTCATGGAATTGCACTTGTGGAAGATTGCCTAAGGAATGTGTATTTCATTTACTTATATATATGAGCAACTCAAATCTGGGAGCCTTGGATGAATTTCAGAGGGTTTGTTGACCACCTAAAACATTTGGGTACATGTGCTTCCTCCTGGCAGTTTTTACACTGTACCCACCAAATTCTCAATGAGGTCCTTATTCCAAAAATGCTTAAGCATTCAGAATCACTGTTCTGAAGCACTTCTTGGTATTAAACTACATTCTCAAAAACCTCAATATGAATGATATTAGGATGCCTCTTTCATTCAGTTTTGTCTTGGTGTGATGCCACCAGTCTGTATTGGAGGATATTTTAAGAAAGATGTGTATTTTGCTATTCTTCTTTCTTTTATTCATTTGTCCAGCTACTTACTACATATGTAGCACCTGCTACATGAAGGGCAGGCTTATGTTTGTGAAAGATATAATGAGAAAATAAATCAGAAAAAAATCCCTTGGTTTGTAGGTTTTTTTTTCTAGTAGGGAGACAGACAGTAAAACAAGAAAAAAAAATAAGATATTCAAGTTAGTGTTCAGTGATAAGGTGAAAATTTTAAGCAGAAGAATGGATATGAGGTTTTGAGGTAGGGAAACTGTGTGACTTTAGATGGGATGGCCAGGCAGGGCTCCTCTGAGAAGGGGCCTAAAGCAAAGGTTGGTGACATCAAGAGGCAATTGGGATCCAGGTCCTCAGAGTCTTGTGCAGGACTTAGACTTTTATTCTGAGTGAAAAGGGAGTATTCTAGTGTTTTGAGAAAGAGAGACATGACTATTGCTGTGTTGATAACAGGCTTAATTGGGAAGAAATGGCAGAATTGGAAATTTTGGAAATTTTTAAAATTCTTTATTGGAAATAAATATGTCATTACCTCTGCTATAACCATTTAACTTTGATCACCGTAAAGATAAAGGTTTTAGAAAATAAGGGAAGTTTGAACACTGAACAGGGAGACCTGTAAAGCTCCTCTTCTTGTAGTCTAAGGAAGAGATAATGGTGACTCTGAACAGGATATTGGTGGTTTCAGGGGAGATAAGTTATTGAAATTTGAAATTCCCATAAAATTCTGGTCCTGTACCTGGTATGTTATGCAGTTAATCAGGAAAATATCTTATTATTCTTAGTGTTAGGATCAATTTACTTTTTCCCCTAAGCTGCTAGTTTCATTTTACATACTAGGTGAATTTATTAGACTGTTACAAATTATGGTCACGCTTAGGAAGCACATTCAAATTGATAGTTGTTTGGCATATTTGATGCAGTTGACTTATTTTGATTACCTTATACTCGATTTTTTTCTCATAGTTTAAATTTTTTGTTATATTTTTCTGTATTGTTTGTTTTGTAAACCTCCTTGTATTCCTTTTGTTATAGTTTAGGGTGCATATAAATATTTTTCTCTTTGAGTCTATGTGAGATGCCACCTTTCGCCCTCTCTTCAAGGCTGTTTCTAGCCCTTTTTACATTGTGATTGTTTCTCTTATATTAGAATGAAATCCAATGGAAAGAATTCAAACCATCAGAATAATTAGTGTTTTGCATGGAACTTTAAATAAAGGAATAGTTGTCTCAGGTAAGGATGACAGCTGACCTGTTTGGTCACTTAGCAGATCATTTCAGTTAAATGTGAGTCAAATCAATTTTGGGACTAAATTATTAGTCACTAGTTTAATCAAAGCAGCCCAGAGGTGTATTGTATCTATGACACATACTGATTATGATCCTTGATCTTGAGCTTATTTTGTGGGGATGTTTTATATCAGAAACAGATAATAAAAAATTATATGAAACATTATATTAAATATTAAAATCATATTAAGGCTTGCATATATTAATATGATTAGATCATGTGAATGCTAAGTACTTCACCCATTCCTAGAGATCCTAAAGAAATGTTGTGATGTCACAGAGTCCCAACGAATTTTGTCAAACCAAAATTCTAATGAAAAACTGATACTCTGAAAAACAAATAGACCAGAACACAAATTGCTTATATGCATCCATTTTCTTCCTAAGAGTTTGTAAGTTGTAAAATTAACAAACCCCCTTTTCTGTTTACTCATCATATGGGGCCATTCCTCAGGTGAGTTATAAGGCATGTTTCTTATTTAATAATTTCTAATATTCCTTGTAGTAAAGCTGTGATTTCTGTTTTAAAGTAAAAATTTCTCAGAATCATAGGCAGCTCTGAAAGAAATTGTAGAGGTCATCCAGCGGTCTTATTTGTAGATGAGGAACCAGAGGTCGATACAGTTGAAATCCCAAGTCCTGCAAGCTGATCAGTAGAAAAGTAGTAGAGGCCAGCATCCAAGACTCCTGATGCAATTCAGGGCTTTTTTTTTTTTTTGGTTGTTGTTGTTAATATCTCAGATTACATATGTGTGATGGACTGAATCCCAAATTTGAGATCATAAAAAAAAGATTTAAATATCCAAGTCTTATAGGGTTTCATCATAAGTCCAAACTTAATGAATTAAAATTTTACTGCCATTCTAATTCATGATGTAGTAGTATAAATAATCTTATTGATGTTGTATTTCAAATTGAGTAGAATTCATGGGAAAGCTTATGTATGAAGTCATTCCTAGCATTTGGATAAATTAAGTCATGAGGCCCTCCCTGAATTATTCTGGTAACTCTTTAGTGTGAATATTATCTGCAAATGAATAATAGGTTTTCAAAAACATTTTGGAAAATTTTTTTATTCTTTATTGGAAATAAATATGTCATAACCTGTGCTATGACCATTTGACTTTGTATGATCACAGTAAAGACAAAGGTTTTAGAAAATAAGGGAAGTTTGAACCCTGAACATTAAAAAAAAAAAAAACGGTTAAGATGGTGATATTAATGGTTTTAGATTACCTGTCATATATTTAATTGATACTGTGATCATTTTTGTTTAGTTGAAAATTCACTTTTGTCCTGTGACATTTGTGCTGGTTTCTATGGCATAGAGGAACATTGACTGTTTCTGTGTTAAAATATAAGCTGCATAACTATGTAGGATAATATGTGCATAGCAATAAATCTATAACTTTAAATTCAGAGTGGAAGACTTCTCTGATAGTGATCCAGATTATTACAGAGGGTTAATTTTAAATACTTATTTATAATTCTTTTCCTTTTATATTTTCTACAGACACCTGATGTATGTGTTGTTTTTGTTTCAGATTTGCTGTTTTTCAGGTACATGTCTCTGAAGTAAGATGACTTGTCAAAAACTCTTTGTGATTTTGTTACATTGGGGTAAGTTATTTGCTGTTTTAATGTACTTATATAAAGTGAAGATTGTGCTTTCTCAGATGTTATTTGTTTCATTGACTAACAGAATTTCCTTTTTCCAATCAGGAATTCTTATTTATGCTCATAATTAACTATAAACCAAAAACCCTTTTCAATCTCCTGAAAACAACTTGATACTTTACTTGTCCAGAATTCTAGTGCATGTGCGTGCGCACGTACACGTACACACACACACACACACACACACACCCCTACCTTATAGTTGCAAAACTAGAATTGGTCTTTATATTTTGATCTGCATGTTTCTTTTTCCACTTAACAAGTTTTCAATTTATCAGGACAATTTTTCTCACAGACATACCCAGAATGATGTTTGACAAAATATCTGAGCATCCCTGGACCTAGTCAAGCTAAAACACAACATGAAACATCATAAGCTTTAACAGTTTGTCATGTTTGAAATATTTCCTTACTGCCCAATATTTGCTTTGTAGTTCTTTTACAGTACAGAAAATTTATGATATGCTAACACATACTTTAAATAAGCTAAAGTGACACTTAACTTTTAATTTTATTTAGCAAATAAGCAATTTTAAATTATAAAATATACTAGATAATAGTCAAAAATTAAATTTTATATGTCAAGGAATAGTTTAACTGGTAATAATAGTCACATGTTATTTGACTGTGACACAAAATGATGGGTTTGTTTTCAAACAGAAGGGTGATCATGTTGTAAATGCTATTCTGTATTATAATGGAGAGTAATGACAAGTATGAACGTAAAGGGTTACCAAGGAATGGTAACAAATACCACCAGAAGAATGCTTTAAGAAATTAAATGCTTTTCTTCCTACGCATTGCAGGATTGTCCTCCAGAGAAAGCTTCACATGATCTTTTATTGTCTTAGCTTTCAACCTTTTGTTTGAAATAAGTCACATGTTGATGATAACTTTTAGACAGGAAAACTAAGCTAATTTTTTTTCTCATTTAATTTTTTTCTTTTTTCAAATTTATTTATATTTCTAAATTGGCATATGAAATTATATGCATTTATCATGTACAAGATGACTTTTGAAGTCTTTATGCTTTTTGCAGTGGTTTAATATAGCTAATTATAGCAAAGCCATTACTTCACATATTTATTGTTTTTGTGTTAAGATCATTTAACATCTACTGTCCCAATATTTTTCAAGAAACATATTATCATATTTTTCTTTTTTCTAAAATTTGTTATTTTTAATTACACATGACAATCGAATGTATTTTGACTTATCATACATACATGGAATATAACTTCCCATTTTTGTGGTTGTACATCATATGGCGTTACATTGATCACATATTCATATATGAACATAGGAAAGTTATATCTGATTCAATCTACTGTCTTTTCTATTCCCACCCACCTTGCCTTCATTCCACCCTCTTCAATCTGATTACCACCCCCCACACACACTCTGCTCCACCACCACCTATTGTGAATCAGCATCTACATATTAGAATATTTGGCCTTTGTTTTTTTTGGATTGGCTTATTTCACTTAGCATGATAGTCTCTAGTTTCATCCATTTACCAGCGAATGCCATAATTTCATTCTTATTTATGGCAGCTTTTAAATTTTTATCCTTATTCTGTATGTTAGACATTTTCATAATAATATGCCTTGGTGAGAGGAAAGTGACCTGCTCCATTCTGCCATCTTGAAACCTCCCCCAATATATCATCATTAACTGTAGCCATTGTGCTACATGTTAGCTCTTTGAACTTACTCTTCCCAATTATAAATATGTATTATTCTTTGACATTTCATTTTGTCACTCCTGCCTCTTATAACTACCATTCTTCTCTCTACTTCTATGAGATCAACTATTTTAAATTCCATATGTAAGTGAGGTCATGTAGTATTTTTCTTTCTGTGCTTGGCTTATTTCACTTAACATAATGTCCTCTAGATTTATCTATGTTGTTGCAGATTTCAGTGTTCCTTATTTTTTTTATGGCTGAATAGTGTTCTGTTGCTCTGGGGTGGATGTGGTTTGAGTGTCCACCAGAGGTCTATTGTAATTGGATCCTTAGTTCCCAGGAGGTGATATGAAGGAATGCTGTAGAACCTTTAAGAGGAGGGCCTACTGAAAAGTCCTTACATCACTGAGGCATGTGAGACCTAAAGTTCTTTTGAAAAGGTTGTTGTAAAAGAAGCAAGAGTGACCATGTCCAGCTTCCCCTTGCTTCTGATTGGAAATATAATCACTTGATTGCCCTCCCTATTGGACTTCTCCCATTTATGTCCATACCCTGAAGTGATGTGACTGAAGGCAGCCATTGCTAAGCCTACACTATGTCATTTGGATAGACAGCCTTCAAAATGAGATAAATGAACTTGTTTGCTTATAAAGTTAGCCTGTGTCAGGTTAATATTTTCAGAATGTATAAATACCATACTTTCTTTGTAATAAATATGGGAATACAGATATCTCTTTAATGCTGATTTCATTTCATTTTTCCCATATTTTTTAATTGGTGCATTATATTTGTACACATTTATGGGAATTGTTGTTATATATACTCATTTTATTAATTTTAGATATATGTCCAGTACTGAACCAAATGGTAGTTCTATTTTTCATTTTTGTTTTTGAGGAATCTCTGTTCTGTTTTCCATAATGGCCATACTAATTAGCATTCCAACCACCACTGTACAAGGGTTCTCTTTTCTTCACAACTTTGCCAGCATTTGTTACCCTTTGTCTTTTGTATAATAATCATTCTAGCAGGAATAGGTGATGTCTCATCATGATTTTGATTTGCATTTCCTTGATTTGTGATATTGAGCATTTTTTCATATACCTGTTGACCATTTGTACATCTTCTTTTGAAAAAATGTCTATTTATGTCATTTTCCCATCTTTAAATCAGGTTATTTGTGGAGCTTTTTTTCCTCAGAGGTTTTTGGAGTTCTCTGTATATTTTGGATGTAAACCCCCTTATTTGATATATAGTATACAGATATTTCATCCCATTTTGCAGGTAGTATCATCACTTTGTTGATTGTTTCCTTTGCTGTACAGATGCTTCTTAGTTTGAAATAATCCTGGTTTTCTATTTTTGCTTTTGATGTCTGTAATTTGGGGTTTTATCTAAAACATTGGTGTCTGTACAAATGTCTTGAAGTGTTGGCCCTAGTTTTTTTTTTTTTCCTAGTAGTTTCATATCTGATGTTTGGTCTTCGATCCATTTGGGGTTGATTTTTTTTTGTTATGGTTAGAAACAGAGGTCCATCTTTCTATTATTTTTCCATAAGAATGTCTAGTTTTCCCAGCACCATTTATTGAAGAGACTGTCATTTCTCCAATGAATGTTTTTGATTTATAAATTCTCCCTTTTTTGAGGATCACTTGGCTGTAGAAACATGGATTTATTTTTGGGTTTTCTATTCTGTTCTGTTGGTCTGTGTATCTGTTTTTATTCTAGCACTATGATGTTTTTTTTTTTTAATTTTTAGTTGTTGATGGACCTTTATTTTATTCATTTATTTATATGTGGTGATGAGAATTGAATCCAATGCCTCACACATGTAAAACAAGTGCTCTATCACTGAGCCACAACCCCAGCCCCTGTTTTGGTTATTATAACTTGGTAGTATGTTCTGAGGTGAGGTATTGTGATACCTCCAATTTTGTTCCTTTTGATCTAGATTTCTTTGGCTATTTGTGTTTTTTTGAGATTACATATGAATTGTGTTTTCTTTTCTATTTCTCTTAAGAAAGTCATTTGTATTTTGATACGCATTGAATTGAGTTTGTAGACTACTTTGGGTAGGATGGAAATTTTAACATCATTAATTCTTCAATCCATGAATGTGGGATATTTTTCCATTTATTTGTGTCTTCAATTTCTTTAATCAATATTTTATGGTTTTCAGTATAGGAATCTTTCATATATTGTAGTTATTATAAATGAGATTGTTTTTTAAAGATTTCTTTTTCATATAGTTTGCTACTATTGTATAGAAATTCTACTGGGTTTGCTTTTTTTCTGAAACTTTAATGAATTTGTTTATTCTAACAGATTTTTTTTTTTTTTTGCAGAGACTAAGATTTTCAATGTATAAGATCATTTGTTTGCAAAAGGGTCAATATAACTTCTTCATTTCAATTTAATTTCTTTCTCTTTACTAATTGCTTTGGCTAGTACTTTCAATAACATATGTTGAAGAAAAGTGGCAGGATTGGTTATCCTTGTCTTGTTCTAGATCTCAGAAGAAAAGATTTCAACTTTTCCTCATTTAGTATGATATTACCTGTGGGTTTATCATATATGGACTTTATTTTGTTGAGGTAAATTTCTTCTATTTCTGATTTGTTGAGAGGTTTATCATGGAGGGATGTTGAATTTTGTCAAATGATTTCTCTGAACATCTTGAAACTATCATATTGTTTTTGTTCTCTGTTCTATTTATGTGGTATGTCATTTGCATGTGTTGAACCGTCCTTGCATCCCTGGGTTGATCATGGTGAATGATCTCTTTAATTTACTATTGAATTGAGTTTGCTGTTTTGTTGAGGATTTTTGCCACTATGTTAATCAGGGATTTGGCCTATATTTTTGTTTATTTTCCTTTTGTTGTGTACTTGTCTGGTTTGGGAGTCAATTATGTAGAATGAGTTTGAAAGTGTTACATCATCTTCAACTTTTTGGAAGAGTTTGAGAATTGATTTTAGTTCTACTTTAAGTGGTTATTAGAATTTAACAGTGAAGTGATCAAGCCCTGAGATTTTCATTCATGGGAGAATTTTTATTACTGATTCAATCTTCTTTCTTGTTATTAGTATATTCAAATTTCTTGTTTCTTCATAATTCAATCTTAGAAGGTTGTATGAATTCCAGAATTTATTAATTCCTTCTATGATACCCAATTTGTTTGAGTATGATGATTTACATTTCTTTCAATCTTTTGTATTTCTGTGATCAATTTTTTTGTTATTTATTTTATAACTTTTTTTGAAGTAGGCATTTATTACCAAAAACATGTATTAGAACTTCTTTTGCTATATTCAATAAGTTTTGATATGTTGTGTCTTCATTTTCATTTCTTTCTTTCAAGAATTTTTAAAATTCCCTTTTAAATTTCTTCATCGACCCATTGGTTGTTCATTGACCCATTTTTTTTTTTTTTTTAGTTTTCAATGGACACAGCATTTTTATTTTATTTTTATATGGTGCTGAGGATCGAACCCAGCGCCCTGTGCATGCCAGGCAAGCACGCTACTGCTTGAGCCACATCCCCAGGCCCTGTTCCATTGGTTTTTAAATTTCCATGTATTTGTAAATTTTCTGGAGTTCCTCTTTTTAATTTTTTATTTTATATGAGGGATTGAGCCGAGGGGCATGTAACAATTGAGCCGTATCCTCAGCTCTTTTTTATTTTGAGTCAGGGTCTTGCTAAGTTGCTTAGGGCCTCCCTAAGTTGCTTTGAATTTAAGATCCTCCTGCTTCAGCCTCCCGAGCCATTGGGATTACAGGCTTGTGCCACTACGTCTAAAGTTATTCTTGTTATTCATTTCTAGTTTTATACCACTGTGGCCAGAAAAGATAATTGATTTCAGTCTTCTTGAATTTGGGAAGACTTATTTTGTTGCTTAACACGTAATCTATCCTGGAAAATGCTGCCTGTGCAGTTGAGAAGATTGTACATTCTGCAGCTGTGGATGGAATATTCTGTACATATATCTATAAGGTTCATTTGGTCTAAAGCGTAGTTTAAGTCCTTGATTTTCTATCTGGATGATCTGTCCATTGATAAAAATGGGGTGTTGAAGTTTCCTAATATTGGTGTATGGCAGTCTACCTCTCCTTTCAGACCCATTAATAATTGTTTGATATATTTTGTTTTCTACTTGCTCTTGAACTCCAGTAGCTTGAAATTTTGCTCTTTTGATGCTGTCCCATAAATTTCACAAGCTTCCTTTATTCCTTTTCATTCCCTTTTCTTTTTTCTCCTCTAATTGTACATCTTCAAATAACCCCTAGTTCATAGATTGTTCTGCTTTGTTAATTCTGTTATTGGTGCTCTCCATGCCCTTTTTTTATTTATCCATTCTGTTTTTCATTCCCAGTATTTCTGTTTGGCTTTTAAAATTATTATTATTTTAATGTCTCTGTTTTTCATATTCTGGTCCCTTATTTTTCCCATTTCTTTGAATCGTTTCTCTGTATTTTTTAAAATTTGTTGAATCTTTGAAAAAGTTTTCTTGATTTTTTGTCAAGCAGTATGTGCATCTTGATCTACTTATGATGGATCACTGGTACTTTATTTTTTCTATTTGATGCTGGCATGTTTCCCTGCTGATTCCTTTATCCTTGTGGTTATATATTGGTATTTGAAGTATATACTTATTCAAGTCTTTTCAGATTGGATTTGTTCAGGAACACTGTTTAGCAGGAAACCTGTGCAGAAACTCTGGTCATCTGGTAGGTCATCTTGTATGGTCCCCAGCTGTGGAAGCACTATAGGATGTCCTAAGGCCAAGACTTGTACAGCACACAGTGCCAACTGAGAATTTCTTGACTATCCAGGTGGGCACATCTCTGGGATACACTCAAAGCCCTCTGGTTGCCACAGCTATCACAGTACTTTATACACCTGAAGTCTTATCCATTGAGGCTTTCTTGCTTCTGAGGTTTGTCTCAAACCTAAGTCTTCTGTAATATAGGTCAGCAAACTTCTGATTCAGAGATCAGATCGATCAACCTTCTGATTCCAAAATCAGAGATCATTGCAAGGGCTGTGGGGGTCCAATCTTGCATTTGGGTGGGGCAGGTCAGGAGACTCACTTTTTAGGTACCAATATGTTTAGGAGCCATGGGTGTCTGAGTATTTTCATGCATGGATAGTTGTTTTAATTGATGTTTCTTTAGGGGATGATCAGTGGAGAGTTCTCATCTGTCTTCTTGCTTCACCTTCTCCAATTACTGGTAACTTTTCAACAAATGGTATTTACTTGCTTCTCATCATATTCTGATTTTAAAAAATCTGAATAATCTAATTTTGTTTAGGTTGCAAAGTTTTGAAATTAAAGTCAGGCTATCTTTAACTGAAATTATTTTATCTGGCAACTGTTACCTTTGTGTCAACTAGTTCTGAGCATAACTTTTGTTGCTCCAATGTAAAGGTGCTCTTGTAAGCTTCCTTACAAGTCCACCTTGTACATCCTGTTGTTTCTCATTGCAGCCATCTGTATCCTTCCAGAAAATACTCGGAATAGCTCCACTATTACAGATTTCCAAAAACCTACGTTACTGGGACTGTCAAAGAGAAATAATTATCATTTATATTCTTCATCTAATTTTATTATATATTTAAAAGAACTATTAATTATTCTTTATATTTTTTCTAATTTTTATTAGACTCATGTTTTATGCTGGCTTTTGAAAGATTTGTTTTAGCCTCACGGATCAGAAGATATCCTAGGTTATTATTACTGGACAGCATTTTGGAGAAAAATGCTGGATATCTTGCTTTTCAGGATTCATTCTGAGGGAAAGAAATATTTGCAAAGAAAGCATGTAAACAAAATAGTCTCATCTTTTAATTAAAGCAATTCAATTGCTGCTATGTTTATGAATTTAAATTGTTTGTTTATTTCAATATTTGAGGCTTTGAGATTAATTTCAGTTCAGTTCACTGAATTTTCCATGTGCAATTATAAAATAAAATGCTTTAATTAGTAGTATAACATATTCATGTTTTTAAAAAAACATAACAAAGAAACCCCACAAAACAAATATTAATTTTTTAAAAATTAAAATATTCTGATTTCATAGAGATCTTCTGTTTTCAGAAACAGAAGGTTGTTAGAAAGGTTGAAGTTCAGACAAATCCAGTTATACTGAACATTTTCTTTTGGTGATGTTAATGATACCTAATTGTCATCAGTGTGGGGATGGTAACATTACTCAAGTTAAACATTTTGACTTAATTTTTGCATCAATACATATTATATTACTTTATATTTAGAGAAAGGTTTAGAAACCAAACTAGTAAGTCAATACCTATATATTATATTTGAGTATTTTACACATTTTGCTTTTGTATTAAAAAAATTGTGAACTATATTTAAAGATTTCTTTGTTCTTACATTTTTAATAGATTTTATTTTTAAAATCAGTTTTAGACTCATAGCAAAATTGTGAGGAAGACACAGAGATTTTCTGTCTACTTGCTGCCTCCACACATTTGTAACCATCCCCATTATCAACATCCCTCCCCTGAATGGTAACATTTGCTAACTGATAAACTTTGGTGCTTCATCACCACCCAAAGTCTGCAGTTTGCATTAGGTTTCATTCTTGTACATTCCATGACTTTTGCCAAGTCTAATGACATTTGCCCACTGTTACAGGGTCATGCAGAGTAGTTTGACCCTCTGTTTGTCCTATGTGTTGTTTATTCATCTCTCTTTCTCCCAACTCCTGAAAACCACTGATCTTTTAAATATCTTCATAGTTCTGCCTTTTCCAGAATGGCACATAGTTGAGAATCAAACGATGTGTCTCCTTTTTCAGATGAGCTTCTTTTTCTTAGTATTATGCATTTAAATTTCCTCCTTGTCTTTTTATTGCTTGATAGCTCATTTCTTTTTAGAACTGATTAATATTTCTTTGTCTGAATGTACTGCAATTTATTTATCCATTCACCTACTGCAGAACACCTTTGTTGCTTCTATTTTCTTATATTTTTGCATTTACCATAATTCTTCAAATTCCACTGAAAGCCATACAACATTCTCAGAATTTTCATTCTACATTAGTGTATATATATGGCAACAAACTTTTTGGAATATTTCGATAATTTGTAAAACAAATGAACAAAACCCTTCCTCAGAATTGTATAGTTAATAATTATTTTATTTTCAAACAATTACTTATTTAAAGATTAATTTTTTTAATATTTCTTAGTAAAGGTTATATAAATGTTCTTAATCTTTATATTTAGAAAGTGATAATTAAATTAGCAGTTGAAATTTTCTGGAAGAAATCTGTTGCTGTGTATCACTTCTTGGAGAGTGCTAATTAGGGCATGCATGTTTTATATGATATCTTATATCTGAGGATCCTGGTCATAGTTTGTCCAACTATCCTCATGTCAGGACAAACTGTTTTCAAAAGCACTCAGTAAAAGCAGTGTTAATGTTTCGATTTTACTCTTCAATAAATGCTAAAAGAACGCTTTCATTTTTTGTTTATATAATTTCACATCCAGATATTTCTTATTTCTGCCAGACGTTAGAATGATTTTATTATAGAAAAGAAAAATAATATATTGTTAATGTCCATTCATTGAATTATAAATATGTTAGATTAACAAGGAAAAATGATGTGTGAACTTTCAAAAAAGAGCTGACAGAGTGTGGGAGTTATTTGAATAAATAAGTGAACAATCTCGAGTTTAACACATTGTAATATGGAAGCTCAGAGCTGGTCATTAAATATGACTGAGCACTTTGAAAGTTGAATAATTATTACTGGGTGCTACATGGTTTCAGATACTTTCAGCTTATATTTTAGTCAGAATGATGACTTACATTCTGTGTATCTTGTTAATGTCCTACAGAATTTCTTTGTGTGATAACTGCATTTAACTCGGCATATCTAATTACTCCCTGGAGATTCAAATTGTCTTGTATGCCAGCAAATGCAACTGGTGATGACTTCCTTTTGCCTGCTGGAACCTCCAAGAATGCTTCACGTTTGGATGGACATTATGAGGCAGTTGTTGAAGCTAAATTTAATTCAAGTGTTGCCTACATTTCTAACTTATCCCAAACAAAGTTCCACTGTTGTTTTTGGAATGAACAAGAAAAGAACTGCTCTGTATCTGAGGACGGCACCAATGGGAGGACATTTGTTTCAGCAGTAAATTCCTTAGTTTTTCAACATCTAAGTAAGTATTTTAATTTTCCAGACATTAACTGTTAGGTTTTAACTGTATCAAACAGAGTGTTTTAATTCTCTAAAACCTGTAGGAAACAGATGTCTTAGGATACTGTTCTTAACATATATTATTGCTTTTGTTATTAATAAAATTAGGATTTACCATATGACTGAGCTAATATATATGCTCCAAATTATTTTATATCCCATGAAAATGCAATAAGCGAACTCTTTTTTACCTTTAAGAACATTCCTTGTAGTCTTCTAAATTTGCTTTGATTTAACAAAATCATTGTATTTTTGTTAATTAGATAAAATATCAATTTATTAATGACAATGTTGAATGAGTTAAGTTTTAAATAGTTTAAAAATTCCAATGATTTGTTCAGGTAAGGCACCTCTCTAAAACCACATACATTTTAAATCAAGGGGTTTGTTGTTTTAAGTATAATGCATAATAAATATAGGTAGTCTAGTTAATAATTCTGCCTCTGAAAATATAAACAACAAAACTATTTACAGGTCTTCTGGAAAAGCTAAATAGACTAGAGTTAATTGATTTAACCTTATGAAGAGACTTTATAAAAATATAAGTGTAAAGCATAACACTTCCATGTGGGCCTCTCAGGATATTCCAATTGATACTCTTGCCATTTTGGTGCATGCATGGGCATGGATGACTTTTATAAGGTCTTATACTTTGGAGGATCTTGGGTACATTTTGTCCAGCTGTTCTGAAGTCAGGGTAAACACCTTGCCAAAAAAAAAAAAAAAAAAGTCTTCAGTAAAAAGCCATCTTTACATTTTGATTTTATTCTTTGTTTTGGGGGGCTAACCTGTACATTGTGGGATGCTAAGCAACAGCTCTGGACGTTACCCATTAGATGCCAGTAGCATTCCCTCCCCAACTGGAATGAAAAAAAGTCTCTAGGAATTGCCAGATATGCCCTGAAATACAAAATMAACCCTCATTCATCATCATTGATAGACATGATGATGTGGAGAAATACTCCAGTATGTTGAAATCAGTTTAGGAATAATGATGAAACATAAATATGAAATAAAATCATATTTAAAAAATAAGGTAATAGCAATAACTCACTGTGTCCCCAGTTCCATTCATAGCTATTAACTTCATTTTAAATGAGGTACTTTTTAAAATGTGTAAGGAAACTTAGCCAATTTAGTAATTATTAAATATGCCAAGAATTAAGTGAAGAAGTCAGGTCCCAGTGATGAGTCTTGAAATGATAAAATTATTTATGATTATTATTTTAATTTTATATTACATATGAAGGCTGATAACTATCTACTTCTAAGTGAGTTTAAATTTTTATAACTAAAATTGCTAAGTTAAGTAGTGATTCCTGAGGATTTCAGTTTATTCTTCTAAGTAGGCTGCTGCTTTCATAGGGCCAACAGTGTTTCAAGTCCCTAGTAGCTAGAAATCCTGGTTTGGGAAAATGTGTTAGTGTTAAGTTAGTTATGATTTCCAACATTTGCTATTCCTGCCTTATAAATTATGCATAGTTTATCTTCATCACATCAAGTGTGTGTGTGTTTCAATGTGTAGTGGAAATCTACTTTTATTAGTTGTATTTGGGGCCTATGATATTTTAATAAACAAAAATTTAAGACATGGATCATAGCTCAGATGTGAGTCACTGTGCCTTTATTTGCCAAAACAGCCATGTAAATATCCCTCTAGATTTGCTTATTCACTGATATCTATTGTTCTTTTTTCTCCTGAAAAGTGAAAAAGAACTGAATCAAGTGAATTTTGAGGTCTTTTGTCTGACTTAAGTGGTTTGTTATTAAAAACAATTTTGAGAAGAAATCATTGAATTTAATTCTCTTACATAACAAAGAAGGAAACTGAGGGTCACAGGTACTACATCACTTGGGCAAGCCTACCAGTAGTTAGAGCTTAGTCTTTTTCTCTCAGAACAGGCAATGGAAGTTGCTTCAGAACATAAGTAAATTCAATTTAGCTCTTCTCTTTCACTGAGTTGTTCAGAATGTTTTTCAGACTTAATGCAGTTTATTTTTAATTCAGGTGCAAACTGGAACATACAGTGCTGGATGAAAGGGGACTTGAATCTATTCATCTGTTACATGGAGCCATTATTAAAGAATTCTTTCAAGAATTATGACCTTAAGGTCCATCTTTTTTATTTTCTGTAAGTAACAAATAATTAATTTGGCCATTTCTGCAGAGTTTTTTTTTTCCTGAAATGCAAGAGTTTCTGTCTACAAAAGTATATTATGAAACCTCTCCCATCCCTACATTTCCTTTAATAGCAAACCATTTATAGAGGGTTCTTTGCATATATGTTTCTTTTTATGTGCAACACTCTTCTCCATTAGATTTCCTTTTTGCTCCTCCTGTTGATTAAGGTAGCAAGATATTGCAGATATGAATAGGCATATAGTCTGAAAGAAAAATGAACTCAGTTCAGGGATCCTAGATATTTAAGTGGAAAAGGGAAAAACTTATTTTGTATTTCTTCCTCAGGTAAATTTTTTCTATATGTGATATTTTTTGGTTAATTAAAAATACAAATACTTGATATTTATCTGTGTTAGGCAGAGAACCAAAAAAGTGGTTTGAAATAGCCATATATTTATAATTCTATCAGGTAATATATTCAAGTTTTCTTATATGCTCCAATAATAATATGAACTCTTAATTTTAACTCTAATTTTTTTCTCATTCATTCTTTTATTTGGTACTTAAAGAGAAACTTGACTCCTTTAGTACTATAGTTACTGAGACATAACATGGGGTGATATGCTAAAACCTATCCATATGAAGACAAATGGAGACACAAAGTAGAGTTCTGGTTATCAGGTGCCTGGAGGAGGGGATATCCCGTAGGGAGTCATTGCTTGATGGATTCTGAGTTTTAGTTTGAGAAGATGAAAAAAGCTCTGGAGTCATATGGTGGTGAAAGTTGCACAACAGCATGAACGTATTGATGTTGCTGAATTTGACACTAAAAGTAGTTACAGTGGCAAATTTTGTATTACATATATTTTACCACAATAAAATGTTTTTGAAAAGAAAATTAAAAATATAAAGATGAATAGTTATGACTCTGCCCTTGAGGTGGTTGTAGGCTAGTGCTTGGGACAGACATGTATAAAGTTTCAGTTTCAGTGGTTACTTAGACGTACTTGGTGGGTACATGCTGCTTTGGCAGCCCTTGACTCTTGAGAGGGCATTCAGTCCAACTGGTAAGAAAAGAGAGGAGGGAGGGAGGGAAGGTTACTTAAGGAAGGATACGGCTGAGTTGAATTTTTAACTGTAAATAAGAACTAACAGGAACATGTGTGGGCAGTGTAGTATTTTGCAGAGATCAGCATCATGTGAATACTTTATGAAAATTTAAGTTAGGTAGCTCCAACCCAGAACTAGTAAATCCACATTCTGGAGATGGGCCTCACTAATCCTTATTTTACCAAGCCCTTTAGATGATTCTTTAGAACTCAACTTTGAGAGTCCCTGGTATAGAAGTTGATATGACATATTACCTGGTCATACCACTTAGTAATGTACACACATAGCACTTACTATGCTGAGCAGTAGTTCTACCTGTAGAAATTAACTCAATGGAAATATTTACATAAATGCTTAAAGTTATTTGTTTAATGAATAAAAAAAGCTTCTATTTTTCTTTCTAATTTACCCTACAGAAATGTTTTAATTAGCCAAAAATTATTAATAAAGTAATAATTTCAAGAGAAGTTGAGTGACCAATGCTCAAATATAGCAGAAAGATATAATAAGGTCAGATTTATATCAATGGACTTGACAATGTAGAAGTAATGGATACTGTAATAGAGGTTTTGTTTTGTTGTGTTTAGGTACTAGGGATTGAACTCAGGGGCACTCGGTTACTGAGCCATATCCCCAGCCCTATTTTTTATTTTATTTAGAGACAGGGTCTCACTCACTGAGTTGCTTAGTGCCTTGCTTTTTGACTGAGGCTGGCTTTGAACTCACTATCCTCTTGCCTCAGCTTTCCGAGCTGCTGGGATTACAGGTATGCACCACTGTGCCCAGTTTGGTTTAGAGGTTTAATGATTGGGCTATGAGAGCCTTAATCTAATCAATTCCTCAGGCTCTTGATGAGAGGGGCTTTGAGAGCTGGAACTTATATACTCAAGGAGGTGTGGAGGAGGTGTCTCTGAGGGGGCATACTATGGCATGTTCTGAGAATGTGGAAAAACACTGGTTACAGGAACCACTTGCTGCTGCCTAGGTGGGAAACCTTTGCTAGGCGATACTTTTCAATAATGGGAAGCAAAACAGGAAGGACCAGGTTCTTTGTTCCTCCACTAGCCTTCTACTCTTCCACTAGCACTCCTATAGGTAGTTTTTTWAAAAAAAAATTTTTTTAATAAAAACCTAGGTGGTAGAATATTGTGGTTTGCAGAGTTCTAGCCCCAGCCTGGCAAAACAAGGTGGCTTTGAAGCTGAGAGGCAGCACCCCATTGCCAGTACAGTCCACCCCTTTGGCTTCTCAGCCCCCACTCTCCAGTCTGTATATTTTTGAGTTTTTCTACAACTTTCCTATACTTCATGCTTTCACTTAGTAAGATGCATCTACACTTTAAACAAAAAGAGGCATTCTTATCCTCTCTCTCAAGTGAGATAATGGTTTGCCCCAGTCGTCATTGTATACATTTTCCTTTTCCTTCCTTCCTTCTTTTTTTTTTTTTTTTTTGGTGGTACTGGGAATTGAACCACGGGTACTCTGCCCTTGAGCTATATCTCCTCCTGCCTCAGCCTCCCGAGTTATTAGAATTATAGGCGTGCCATTTCTGGGCAATATTAATTGCTTCTTATACTCAGGCATAATCCTACCTGAATGAATATTCTAGAAGCTAAATTTTAAAGTTAACACTATCAAGAATTCTTATATAAAATTACAAGGAGGAGATTGAGAAAAAATTAGTGAATATAATATATTATAAACACATGCATACCGAAGCATACTATAGATATCCAAAGTGAATAGCTGTCTTAGTCCATTTCCTATTGCTGCAGCAGAATACCACAGACTGTGTAATTAGTAAAGGAAACTTCTTTCTCTCAGTTGGGAAGGTGGGAAATCCAAAATCAAGGGGCTGAAAGTAGTAGAAGCAGATCACAAAATGAGAGGGTAAGAGGCAGGAGAGTGTGTAGGCTCAATTCTATAACAAAGCCATTCCTATGATAATGGCCTTAATTCTTTCATGACCTAATTACCTCTTAAAAGACCCAGGTCTCAATAGCATCACAGTGGCAATGAATTTCAATATGAGTTTTGGAGGGACTTTGAAATCATAGCAATAGTTAAAGGATAGGAAAGCATGAGCTTGTTTCTAGCCTGTAGAAAATGACTCATGGGGAAAGAAAATTGAAAGATATGGTAGAAGGAGACCCACTGAAGACATTTATGGAGAGTGAATAATTGAAAGGCAACAACCAGAGAAAGACTACAAATGTGATTTGTCTTAAAATGAAGGAGGCTGTTTTGGTTAGCTGTCCATCTCTGTGAAAGAATATCTGAGATAATAAATTGATAAGGAGGTTGACAGTTTCTGAATTTTACTTCCTGGTTGCTTGGCTTTGTTGCCTTTGGCCTGTGGTGAGGCATAGCATCATGATGGGGGTTCATGGGGGGAGCAAAGCTGTTCATCTCATGGCAGCTGGGAAAAGAAAGATGGAGAAGGAGGGAGGGGAAGGGGTCAGCGTCCCAATATCCCCTTTGAAGGCATGCCCCCAGTGATCTAACTTCCTTCCATAAGGCCCCTTTTTCTAAAGGGGCCACCACCTCCCAACAGTGCTACAGGCTGGTAACCAAGCCTTAGACACATGGCCTTTGAGAAACATTTAAGATCTAAACTGTAACAGGTTCATTTCCGCTAATTAAGTATTGAGAGAAGAAAGCAAGCACTGTGGTAGATGAAGACACATTTTAGATTTGGGGCAGAAATTTTCCTGCTTTATTGAGCAAATAAGTTTGAGTTCAGAGAAAAGCATTCCTTTGCAAAATGGTACATTCCTACAATGAGTCTAATGCTTTGGATGGTGACCAAATACTGGTGCCTAAGTTAGAGAATTTAAAATCTTACTGGCAGGCTTAGAGCAGTGGTATTCAGTTTTAAAGTTACGTGAACATGTGTGAGGATTTATATATAAATATATATATTGCAGAGCATTAAAAGTTTGAGTAGTAACTTGGCTATACCTGATAATTTTTACTTTAATCAAGTCAACTAAACATTTATGTAAATGACAGAACCCAGAAAAATGAGAAAATTGTGATAACTTAATGAGTTTTTAAAACTCACGTATTTGACAAATCCAAGATTATTTTTTTTTTGCCTGGTGTTTTATTTGAGAATCAGTTTTCTAAAATTATTATAATCATTTATATTTCTGGTAACTGGAGAAACAGTCTCTCAATTTTTTTGTGCCAAATTATAGCTCTCTGTGATTTGGTTAGTATGTATGTCCATTGTATCAATGATCACCTTCTACTTCTGCCTTGACTTGTTTCTATGTGTTTCTTTAGGCACTATAGCTCCAAATAATTTAAATAAACCTCCTCAGATGAAAATGAAGAATTGGTCAGTATAACAAATGAGATCTCTATAGAAGGGAAAATCCATCATGGTGGTTTAATCTCTCCTTTTGTGGACATCAGGGAATTCATGAGAGAAATCTTTTTAAGGCTTCTATGCGTAAAAAAAATATTGTTTTAAGAAACTACAAACCTAAGGGATTTTAAACCCCATATATTCATCTGCTAAGGGAAAGCATTATTTGAGCTCAGATATTAATGTTTGTCAGAGAATCTGGAGAGGCGCCTTAGAAATGGGATATTTTGAAAACTGCTTCAGACGTTTTATCTGAGACCTAGGAAAGAAATCGTCTTTTTCCTTCATAAGGTCTGCTGTGTCTACTAGACACTGAGCTGAGTGTGGGGAACACTGTTCATCACTATAGGATCCACTCTGGCTCTCATGGAGTTAACAGGGTTCTAAAAACAAGACATAAGAGCCAAGTTTAAAAATACTGTGATGTAATAAATTTAGGGACTTGTAGAAACATACCCAGGAACATCCAGCCCACTTTAGGGTGGGCAGAGGAGAATGAGCCAGAGAGAGGAGAGCATTCTCAAAGACC